CCCCCCCCCCCCCTAGGATGGGGTGATCCATTTTCTTCCCCCCCAAACGGCATCCTTCAGCGAAAGAGTGTAGTTTTACATCAACTCCATGATCAACCTGCTGACACTTTGTTGGACTGGTTTCTTGAATTCCCAAGAATCAGTGAGAAGCAGCAGTTGACCCTGCAAGATCTCTTGGCACTTACACCACATAGTTCTAAAAAACAACAGCAAACGGGTGGGAAGGTCCTTCGCAAACCAACGTCCGAAAGAAAGGTCGTGGGTCTTGAGGTTTGGGGTGGCATCGCACTTTGCATTCTGCAATGCATCCCGATCTTCGTGGTCTTCGTGTTGCCGGCCCGATCTTGATAATTCAAGTGAAGTGGAAGAAATCGGTGCGGAGCAGTGCGATGCAAACATGAAAGTGAAGTTGGGATGGTTCGCTGGAGTGTCCAGCAATGGTAGCTCGCAGATTGGAATCTGACATGAAGAACACATAATTAGAAACAACACTAATTATTGCTTCAAGTCACAAAGGTATTGGGTTGGAGGCCATCGCTAGTAGGTTAGAGGCCATCGCGGATAGGTTGGAGGCCATCGCTCTTAGGTTGGAGGCCATCGCTCGTAGGTTGGAGGCCATCGCTCTTATGTTGGAGGCCATTGCTATTAGGTTGGAACCCATTGCTATTAGGTTAGGTTGGAGGCCATCGCTATTTGATTGGAGGCCATCGCTATTAGGTTCGAGGCCATTGCGATCAGGTTGGAGGCCATCGCTATTAGGTTGGAGACTTCGCAAGGAAGCACAGAGCAAAAAGTTGCTAACCCTCCAACACAGCCCTGGAAAGAACAAGTTCACTCACTGCGCAGAAAGTTGCGAGCCTCAGCCTTGGGTTCGACACTGTTTGTATGAGTGTGCCAGCAGGATGTGCATGCTTCTCCACACTTCCGTTGTGGATGGCGCAGATGGGTCGTGACGGAGCCCAGCCCGAACCAGTCGCCTCCAGTTCCTCACAGCCTGATGCCATCTCCCGGTGGATGAAGCCAAAGCCAGGTCTTTGTGGGTCGAACGCGAGATGAAGCCATCAACGAGGCCTCAAACCCATCCGCGGTGCGGCACACACGGGCGGCCCCACTCGACACGAGTGCGGTCGAAGCATTTGGTGAAGATGGAAGGATGGTGAAGTGATCGGGGAAGCGACCAGGTGCATACATCCAGGGTCATCCATTGCTACTTAAATTTCTGATACGATTTGTTTATGTGACGTGCTGGTGTTTTTCAAGCGTTTCCCAGAAAACGCTCGTTTGGTGAAAAAGAGGACGAGAGGTTTTGACATCCCTTGATGGTTGCCACTCCATTCCACCCAGCCCTTCCCAGCACACATGCATGCACATTCTTCCTCATCGCGGAGCTCACTTGCCCGGGGTCCCAGCGAGTCTGCGAAAATGTCGCTGGTAGGACATGAGCAGTCTACTCATGACTCGCAGCGTCACCATTCTATTGGCGTTCACCCGCCGGCTCAGCCTTGAAACCCTGCCAACATAGTCCTCATCCGACCAGCAGGACCAACCTTCAGTGTTGTGTGAATGAAGGGGAAATCACATGGAGGGCTCACTATCACAGACCACAGACCCACAAGAAAACATGTGCCTAAAGGATCCTTATAATATGTGCAAAGGTTCTGACTGGATTTTCCAGCCACCTGGCCCCGTCCATCAAGGCATTCTCGAGATCCTTCCTTGGCTGGAAGAAGGATGACACATCTCCCCATCCATGTTTGGTTATGTCAAAAAACTATGTACATTGTTCAAGCCCACTGAAGGCTGTTTTTTGATAAAATATTGACAGACAGATAGCTTAACCTCCCCTATGCTATGCATTGAACAGCTTCAGAATGGGCAAACCTGTACAGGTTTAGGCTCACAATGTGGCAGAAGAGGTGGCACTTTGGTCGAACTCGGAATAGCCGCCACCCCTTTGCTGCGCTCATGCTAGCTAGGCTTCCATATCCTTCCTTACAGGAGTGTTTGGCTTATCAAAACAGAGCACGATCACGATCTATTAAAGGCCACCCCAAACTTGTGTATGTATATGTATATATATATAAAAGAATCTTTTCATCAAGCAGAGTTGCCACAGCCTTATAGCCGTTTGCCACTGCTACCTTTGCAGCTTCTGTGGTCATCCAGAGTCCCTGGTGGTAGATGACTTTGAAGAATGTATTGGTTGCATCCAACGTGTAGCGTAAAACCTGCCACAACTGTTGGCTATCATGCGGCACCTGGGCGCAAATGACTGGGGTAGACCCACAAACCTAGCTAAGAACCCTCAATATGTTCTTGGAGGCTTCCACCACAGTACAACACACAAACTTTCCAAAACCACAGGCATAGCCATGTTGCTTCATCACCACTCAACCCTTTCACAAGGTCAGTCAACCATTTGCACAGCAGCGCCACGTCGTGCGCACGCGAAAGTCCTTGTGGATAATCATCATTCCTGATTTGGGGCAGGTGCGGTGGGGAAGATGTTGAAGCTACAGGGGAACTCCATGAAAATATCACCCTGGAAAATCCTGATGTGATCCAAGAGTCACTTTCATGTGGAATCTAGACTTCTCAAATGACTTCGTGCTGGGCGTTTTGTGATGAGTAGTGCACCACAAAGAAAAGGAATCATAAGCATGATCCAATCTGGCCGCCAAACTCCTTCCCTCGAACACACCCAATTTGCCCAGTAGAACAATTGTGCTTGATGCAAGGTCTCCTCCAAAGCCCAGATTGAACGTGTGCATAACGTCCGTCTTTATCGTTGTGACACTTGCGCAGCCAGGGATGAGACGGAGAGGTGAAATCTCCCCACGCTTGAACGGGTCGGGCGTCTCTCCCACAAATGTTCGGGCCTGACCAGAAGCACTGAAATCCCACCAAGCCTTACATGGCTCAAGAAGAGCTAACCAAACCCACCTTTCTTGCCAACAGAAGAAAAAAGTAAGACATGTAGGGGTTGCCAACTAGCCAAACCACTAGAACATTTACAAGATCAGTTGGGGTACTTCTCCTGGACATTTATGGCAGATCCGGCGGGAGGTGAACCCTGCATAGAGATGCATGCACTTTCTCAGCCATGGCCAATCTCCCTTGATGGCCACCAGGCAAGCGTAGAAATGGTGACCACCCTGCATTGCCCATAAGCTATATATTATACAAGACATGGTTCCTGGCACCTTCACAAAAGAAGAAACAAAAAGAACATCATACTCCAGGAAGATTTTTTTGGCTAGGACACATCCACGGTGACCCCAGTCTCATAGAGTTTGGTCATGTCATCTGCGAGTGCTTTACAAAGGCCCGAGATGCTGGCATCCTTGGACGCGTACCACGTGGCCGGGATCAACGTGTTGAGCAGACGGGTGGTGAAGGAGTGCCTGAGTCCATCTGCTGTTTGAGAGAGACCATGGGCACCAAGTCATAAAAGTATCCCTCTAACAAATGGAGCACAATGAAAAAATAGTTTGGGTGCAGGCCAGAAGTCTTTTTGATATTGAGCTCATTGGGCCCATTGTGAGGAATCACCACCTGATAGCTAATGACCAACAAGGGTGTTTTCCCAAGGGTACGCCCTTCATCGCCATGAACAGCTATCGGTATGCAGTTCCGCTTGAAGGCCACAGGCTTGTTCTTGATCAGGTGGTCCGGGTAATTGGACAAGAACCCTTCCCAATAGCTCTGCAGCATGTCATGATACAAGGATCGATCTTCCAAAGCAAGCCCGCCCAGAAAGAATTGAGGGCAGGTTGGAAGTATGCTTTGCATCCACGATGATAGCAAGATGATGGGAAAATCAACGGTTTCCTCCTTCTTGATTCTGCGGCCACTCTTGTTTGGCTTTTTCACTTTGATGAGGAGGTTCGTGGTTGAAATCTGAACAGCAAACACCTTTGCTGACCTGTGGATGAACCTGTGGAAATCCCTCGACGCATTGTTCCCACTCTTCCCAGTCTTGGAGCGACCATAGCGCGCCAGCGGCTCCAAGTCCGGGTCCACCACACCTGAACAACTGGTCACACAATTTCGGCCAGCGCTTGAGTCCAACAAGTACCCTGTCCTGCCTAGCTTCGCCAGTCTTCTTGAAGCCACGGTTGACATTCTAACAACCGCCCTGGCTGAAGAAGCCTCGCGCAGTGAAGAAATAGAATTGATAACTTGTCCCAGGTCCCACTGTCAAGGTTGTTCCAACTAAGCCTTAAGCCAAGGAACTCCAGTTTCGGCTTGTTGTAGAAGTTCACCAGCCAAGTCATCGGTGTCCGAAGAGCTATCACCTGACCAACACGAGCACCCAAACGGCTATTTATGGGGGTGCCCTTAAGACTGTTTAGCTCCACACAACTTCTCAAACAGCTGAAAGGTACCCCAAGAATTGAGTGTTTACTGGCCTTTATTTGGACAGTAAGGGAACACCCTTAGAGACCATATATGTTTCCCCAAGCCGGGTTCGCCCACAAACCATTGACTGTGAGGCACTGCCTTCTGGTTCACACAGAGGACTGCCATCGAGGCCTCCACAGGAAGGGGGACAGCATCAAGCTACATGTTGCATGCCTGCCAAAATGCTCAGCTACCCAACAGGCACCTTTTTTGAGTATCGATCCGCTCCAACGATCTCATGAAGAGACCTAATGTGACATGTCCCCACAATGCATACTGTATATATCGAATTGCAATGTTCGATCACTTCAAAGGGCAGGCTTGTGTCCATCAACACAACTGCATGCCTCAATGCCATGGTGGCTAGGAAAGACACAAAAAAGTTTCATATCCTTGAGGAACCGACATTCTTAAGTTGTTCATTTTGGCATTTGAGACTTAGCACAAAAAAGATCACAATTCATGCTTCAGCGCCCTTGCGCTTCTTGGATTTGGAGTCATTGCCCTTTTTGGGCGCAACCTCCTTCCCTGCAGGCTTTGTGGTTTTTGCCTCATCGCGTTTCTTCGATTTGCGAGGCTTCCTAGATTTTGCCTTCTCAGAAGCTTTTGTGGACCCGGGTGAAGTGTTGCCCTTGAAATTCCTTGGCTTCAAGAAGCTAGGGAATGAGCATAGCAGGATACAGTAATTAACTGAACTGAACAGGGTATGAGGAAAAGTGACAGCTTTTGTGCTAACAAAGGTCTTTGCGCGTGCAAGGAAGTTATTCAAAGACACATCATCCTTTGTGCACTTAGCAAAAATGGTCATGACCTCCTTCTTCTTCTCTTCAATGCCCCTGGCGAGTTGTCCATTAGATACTGGTGGACTACAAGTTTTCTTCTAGGTAAGCAACAAAAGATACAACTTCTCTACAGGTTTTAGCTCCGGGCTGAGACGGGTCCATGGTCAGGTACTCCGCTTGCTTGTCGCTGAGGTCATTGTAGTATTTGTTCATGTTGCTCAGCAGTGTTTTCATGTGCCCAACCAACCTGGTTTTAAAGTCTTTCAGCAAACATAAGTCATCAGTGTTGGGGCCCAGAAAGAGTGTACGTATATAATCAATCCAAGAACCAACAGCAGCCAGGCAACGTCTTGGCAAGGTCACTGCTTAGCGATGACTTTTCCAGCTTGTCCTTTTCAAACATTCTTCAACATATCTATAGCTTACAAGTGCATAGAGAGCTCCCCCAAAGAAACCCACTCCTGTTGCATCTGTGCAGCATCCACCTTTTTCCCCAGCACAGCTATATACTGGGGAAGTATTGTGAAGACACTCTCATTCTTCTGCAGCGTTGGGAATACAAGCCTTGAGAAACGGAAAAAATAGATCGCCGCAACACAAGATAGAAACAATCAGGTGCACATACCATCCACTATTAGCTTCAAGTAACTTGGAGTGACCACCTGAGGCAGCTGTGGCTGCAGCAGCTGCCTGCTTTGCGGCAGCCTCTCGATCCGCAGGCGTGGAATGCGCATCGGGCTCGACATTGACATCTCCGAGCTCAGAATCGAACAGGATGCCCTCTTCATCCTGCAGAAACCCAATATGGAGTGAACAAACCCTATATAGGTGATATCTCAACAAACAGCCCATGAATCATATATGTGAGCATACACCCCTATCCTCGAAGTCTCCCTGTTGGGAAAGTCGCTGCGACTCTCCCATCTCATCCTTTTTTGAGAAGGATTCCTCGAGAACTAGTTTGGCTTCTTCTTCCCCATGGACAGGGTTCTTTCTGACCAAACCTTTGCTGGCAGCATGTCTCCAAGAATTCTCAATCATTGAAGTGGAATAATGTTCCACATCAGCCAAGTACTTCTTGGTGCACCATCGGCCACCTGCTGTGCGCGTTTGGATCAGGTTTCGGTACCTTTCAAGTTTCAGCTCGACAGTCTTGAAGTCCCCATGAGTCTCAAGCATTTTCTTGAGCTTGTCACCTGGGATGCCCACAAGTTTGGGAAATATATATTTATGGGGTCATTGGCAATTGATGCAAACCATATATGATCAAAGGGGCGACCTCCTCCATCCTTGTCATTGTAAAGACTCATAGCCTCCTTGGATGCCGTGCAACCTCCCTTCTTGGGCTTACAGTAGCGGAGCATCCTTAGTTTTGGCTGTTCCCTGCAAAACCCTAAGGGCTTGAACATATATATATATATATATTTGGTCAACATATATAAATGAATGCCTAGGTACTGGTAGTAATATCGATCATACTTCTCTGCTGTGGCTGTTGATTTCTCAGAAGACCTTGAGGTGCTTTTTCTCGACGAAGGTGAGAACCCTAAAGGAATAGATTCAAAACTCTTTGATCTCGCTGGATCCAGGGCAGGGGGTGCAGTGTGAAAGCGCATGCCGGAATCTGGCAGCCTCCATTGGCTTTCAGGTGTGGGTGGGGGTGAAGTCTTCCCACCCCCGTTCCCAGAGGGTTCTGCAACCACAGGAGCTTGTACCTGGGCTGGCTCAGCGTTGGTTTCCACCTGCTCTGTTGGGGCAGTCTTGGCAGCGGGCTTTACACCCTCAAGAGCTGTAGAGAGGTCAGCCTCAAGAGTAGAGAGGTCTACCTGGTCTACCTGCACCTTTCCATTACCATCACCAATCGCTGGTGCCTCGCCCTTACCATCACCAGCCACGGGTTCTGTTTTGTTCGGGTCAGTGGGGATGGCATCATGTGTCGATGGGAGTGCTGGCTCTGCCACGGCAGGGCCAGGGCTGTCTTCAATCACAACTGTGGGGCTCGCTGAAGCGGACCTTGTCCTTTCAAAGCCACTAGCTGTCATGTCACGAAGATTCGCGATTGGGTTTCCAGCCACAAATGCCCCAGATGATTCTGCCATCGAAGGAGCTCCTCCCCACATGATCAGTTGTTGGCTTCAGTTTACAATTGTCACTCAAAACCTCGAATAACCAATCCCACCAACACCCGGGAGCCTGGAGTCACCTGTGGCATCGAATCCTTTGGAAGGCCGGCTCCTCCCATTTTGGCTTGCAATGCCGCGATCCTAGCTTTGGAAGCCTGCCGAAGGATGAGATCGAGGTCTATATACTGAACTAGATTAACTTGAACATATATAGTATCACAACCTGCCTTGATTCTTTCTTGAAGGTCAGCCTTTGAGGTCTCAGAAAGAACCATGGCGCAACCCCACTCCAAAGTACTGCAAGAGTGCAGCTTGCTTGTCATTGTGACACTTTGAGCCTAATTCCAAAAACCAATTCGTACCTTAAAAAAAATTTGCGCTCGTTTTGCGGTTTTTGCACCGATTTGCGCTCGTTTTGCACGTTTTTGCGGTACGAAAGGGGACCACTTTTTCCCACAACTGCCCAAAAGTGAACTCCTATCACACCAAAGCACTATGACAGTGCACCCCTGTCACACCAAAGTGCTCTGACGGCACTGACAGGACAATTCCCCCATTCCGACCAACCCTATGTGGTGGATCTTGATGAGGCCAAGACATCAGCGTTGTACTCTTGGCGCTGGATCTCTGGTGTGGAGACCTGATCCAAGGGCCCGGGCGAGGATGTTTTTGTATGGTGGTACTTGCAAAGGTCACCCAGTGGTAAATTAGTGCAGGCAGTAGTGCAGGCTAGCTGCAATCTGAATGATTTCATCGTTGAAAGTGCTCATGGCATGTTGCCAGGACAAGGGAATCGACACATGTTTTGAGGTGTATAGATAATGCCACACCTCTGGCATTCTCGCATCAATCCACAAGTCGCCGGTCTCCAACTTTTGGAATAGCTGCCGGTCAGAGCTCTTGAGGTCTACCCCAACCCGATTCCTCATGTGCATAGGGAAGTTGCCCCGGTCCTCGTACCCCAGCAGTAAAGCTTTGCCAAATCCTTTCGGGTAGCACCTGGGACAATGGGTCTCCCCCCCATAGCCCTTATGGATCTGTTACAACATATTTGAGGAACTGCACTTTTTGGTTTTGGCCAAACCCTGAAACAGCCTCCAATCCAATATGATCAAATGCCCTAGCAATTAAGTTTACAGATCACATTGATCCTGTTGAGACCTTGGAGATTCCCTGCCACCAGACACATTAAAGGTTTATTTGGTGGCGCTGACACACACAACCAGGGGCACGCTGAATCTCGCAGTTGTTGGCGATTGCCTTTCCATTTGATAGTGCCTGACTTGTCCACATATTTGCCTCAGAGGACAGTCCAAAAAAATATATATTATCAATTGTTTGTATTGTGGCAACAAGCTCACAATGCCTAGGTAGCAGGCTTGCCGTTTGAAGTGTACAAGAAAGACGGTCATTCTTTGTCAAAGTTCCGGCATCTAGATGTGCGACAAACCCACCATTGGAATAGCACACAGTCCTCTTCGGACAATGGTGACCATAATGGGCCATCCAGAACCTCATCACATAGGCCTCAGCCGGCTTGCCCGGTCCATCCCCCTTCGCCCCCAAAACGGAGCCTTGATCAATACTACTGTGTTCTGCACATATGCAAGGTGGAGCCCAGCTACAAAGCATGTATGATTCACAAAGGCTTCGAAACGGTGACTTTTCACCAGTAGTGATTGCACTGGCTGCTCGATCACCCAGTAGGCATGTTTCGCTGTAATGACATACAGGCATAGTACAATCCTTATGGGCATGAAAGGAAAGGGTTTGATTGAAAAGAAGTACATGATCATGTGCAATATGCATAAATGCCGTTCAGAATCTTTGCAACACACTCAGATCCTTCCCTAACAAAGGGTATATGCATAGCTCCAAACGCATTGCAGAACGTTCGCTTGGACGTTCCCCTGGCTGGGGCTCCCCAGCTGCTACAGGGGGGCCCCATTAAGTTCACTGCCTCTGGACATTCCGATAATAGGATCCACAGGACCAACCTCAACATCTCATTTAAAGAACCTTTGGCCCAAAACACAAATGAGTGTGACACATCATATGCACTACACTAGCCCAGTAACAGGAACCCTGGCGGGGCTAAGAAATCCATCACCCTGTCACCAGGGCATCGATTCTCATCAATGGTAGCAACGATGTAGCCAGCCTCCTTCCTAGGGCCAGGCACGGAATCAGTTCAGAATTGCAACCCCATGAACCTAGCTGGAATTAAATCCAAAGCACCACATCTTACTGGCATTTGCTTGCCCAGCGAAGAGATCTAAGAATTGGAACTGGTTTTGAATGGACGGCACGTTGTCGGACCACATCAATAGCAAGATGATTCCAATCAGGATCTGGCAAGGGGATCACAGCCAATGCACTCCGGTTTGATATCATTAACAGTTTCATATGCACAAAGATATGCGCTAGTTCACATTGGGTCATGGCCACGATGCCTTCGGAGCATTCATCTGCAGCAGGTTCATGACTATAGATTCCGCCATGGGACAAGTTCAGGGGCTCACACGGATCCGGTATCAAAACAATCGAGCCTTTGCACTGCACAATGCATTGGGCCAGACATGGTGAGAAGTCAAGCCACAGTAACCACGCTTTGCAGGTGATAGATGTCTTGCCCAACACCGCGGGCCTCCAAACTGGAAAGTCCAGGACCCAGCCGGCATGACCTGGCACGAGTGGAGCTTGCGTTTAAGTGGATCTACCACCACATGCAATAAAGCTTGGCCCTCTGCAATGTCCAGAAAGCGACAGGCTTCATACTCTATCATTTTTCAAACCCTCCCAAAGCACATGTGATGTTGTGATCTTTCAGATCCAACGGGCAGTTGTGCTTCTGAGCGACAGCCCCGCTATAAGATCCAAACACAGCACATGTTGAATCCCCATAGGATCAAACCTATAAATGATCAAACCAAATTGGGCACTGGACTCTTGCCAGCCGGTCGATCACTGAGTGTCCCTGTAGGCCTGGGCGAATCAGTCAAATTATAAGTACATATATGCATGTTCAGCAGTACAGCCTAAGACTCCAGCCTTCTTGGCGCGCTTCTCGATTTCCTCAGGGCTGCAACCTTCATTCTTTGCTGCTCGCTTTGCGACATGGTATGCTGATGACTTCCGCGATGCTTTGGCTTTCCTCTCCGCCAATGCCGCCTCAGAAGCTGCTGCTCTCTTTCGTCCACCTTTCTTTTCATTCTCCTCCTCACACATTTCTTCTTCAGGTCCATTCTCCTCCACCTCCTCCTCACTTGCAGCACTCTTTCTCTTGCCACTTTCCTTTTTGGCTGCAGCCTTTCCTTTCTTTGTCTGAGCAATCTCACCTTCATTTTCTTCTTCCTTCTTTGTTGAAGCAAGCTTTTTTCCTTTCTTCTCCGTTGTTGCCTTTCCTTTCTTCTTCGAATCCTGATTCTTTAGCTTCTTTGCTTCCTCCTCATGCTCCTTTGCCACCTTCTTTCCTTTCTTCTTCTGATCCTTGTCTGTTGCCACCTTCTTCAGGTCCTTTTCTTCTGCCTCCGTAGCCACCTTCTTTCCTTTTCTCTTCTGGACCTTCTCTTCCTCCTTACCTGCAGTCTTTCCGTTCTTCGTTTGGTCGACCTCCTCCTCATCATCATCCTCTTTCTTCTCCTCCTCCGCCTCCGTTGCCACCTTCTTGCCTTTCTTCTGTGTGCGCTTTTTCTTTCCTTCATTCTCCTGGTCACCTTCCTCCATTGCATTCTTTTTCTCTTGCTTCCCCTTGGCCGCCTTCTTGCCAGTCTTTTGATTTTTTTCTTCATCCTCTTCTTCCTTCTTCTTTTCTTGTTTCTTCTGATCCTTCTCTGACTGCTCCTGCTTGCTCTTCTTGCTTCTTGCCTTGGCCTTTGGCTTATTGTTCTTTTTCCTGGTCTCCTTCTGCTCTTCATCCTCGTCTGCTTCATCATCGTTTGCTTCATCGTCATCAGTTTTCCCTTTGCTCTTGCGTTCTTTCTTCGGGCACATTGCAGATTGCTCTGCAGGTGAGATCATTGGAACTTCATTCATGATAGCAGGGCGGCCCTCACCTTCCATCTTGGACATCTCCTCACTCAACTCCACCTGATGCTCACCATCAGGCCCCTCCTGTGCAGGAGGTCCACGCGCAGGTTCTTCACCGACAGGTTCAGCACTTTCAGCAGGTTCTTCACC